TCTGTGATTCTGTTCTGTGATTCTGTGAAGATGGATTTTGCATGCCTGATGTGAGATGCCCATCAATGAGAGCCAGGATCTTCTCAATATCTCTGCCTGCAAATAAGGGGCCCTATGTGTATTTATAGTAGTAAATCAGCAGAGTTGACAGACCTTTGCTTTCAGGTATCCAAAGCTCTTTATAGGACAAAATAAACAAAACAACAGATTACAAATACATATAAATGTATATACAGCTGATTACTAAAATCTGGGGTGACAATGAAAAAGTGGCAGTTTTTAGCCTGTCAATCCCACAGTATTATCCTGATTCAGAGTAACGACTTTTTGTATTTCTACCCAACAGCAATACAGATGTGCATACGGTGGCATCACTGCTTAAGCTGTACCTAAGGGAACTTCCAGAACCAGTCATACCATATGCAAAATACGAAGATTTTCTTTCTTGTGCCAAAATGCTCAGCAAGGAGGAAGAAACGGTGAGTTGGCAACTTGAGTATTAAATAGAAGGCTGGCATGTTACAACCTATTCCGATTTTGAGGGGGAGAGAAGTTGGTGATCACCTGTCCTAATTTAAAATGTGCATATATTAATTGAGGCTGGTTTTATATTAAAATTGTTGCCCCCTAGGTCATTTGGAAATCTGAATAAAGACATACTATAACCTTAGCTGTTTTAATTTCATGTCACTGAACCAAGTTCAAATAAACATCAAAGCTTTCCTTTTGCATGGAAGAGACCTATATTTTTGAGGATTATCATTCTGAACTGTAAAAGGAAGAGTCTTAGGAGTTGCTGTTCAACTCTTGCCATTAAATCAGGGGTCATTTTCTCCTAAGTCTCTTAGGAAGCCAGCTTGTACTGACTTTTGACTGGAGGCCAAGGGACTCTCGATTCATAGCCTATCATTCAGAAGGCCTCAGAAAGATCTCTGGAAGCAAGCCACCTTCCAGACTCTTCTGAAAAAATCAGCATAATGCAGATGAGCAAAATAAGGGTTCTAACTGATAGTTTGTGCTGTGCAGTGGCACGGGCCTACTATATATTAGCCTGAAGACATAAGAAACGAAGTACTTGTTTTCACATTGTTCTGTGTGCTTATGGGTGATGAGGTCAACCCTGATATTTTCTTTTCAAAGTTAACACAAATAGGTTCATTCTGCTGATTTCAGCCTACTCCCCTGACTTTCTAATGTGGTTATTTCTGTTTAATTATTTTTTGATATTTCAAATCCTGCTAGAACTGGAACACCTTCTACCTAATCTTCTAATTAATTGAGGAGGAGCCTCTCTTTTCTAACTGAAAGACTGTCTCCTTTCTGAGCCTTCATTTGATGACTACCAACCCATACTTGTTCCCACCTAATGGAATGGGGGGAAGAAAGATCTGTGGCAAACTGTCTTCCGTGGTCATAATCTCTTACACCCACTGAAATCAGAGTGGTTTCTTCACTGGGGGTTTTTGTCAGCTGCTTCAAAAGGTGGGAGTGGGCTGTTCAGCTGGTTTAATTTGAGCTGCTCTTTGCATAAGTTATGGCAGGGGATCCTCAAAGCTAAAGTTGCAGCTATGTGCCTGTGCATGTTGCTTGTGTGTCTGAACTATTGATAGGTCCAGTGTAAAGCCACCTGACAGCTCTGCAGTTAGTCATCATGCAGTTTATACTTGCAGTGATACTAATTTTCAGATTCAATTTTTAGTCATTTTATATTGGCATAGTCCAGAGTGTATGTGTGTAGTTTTTCTGCAACTATGCCACAAAGTGCTTTATTACGAAGTTCGAAGTGCAGTCACTGTTAAGGAAGAGAGCTGTGCATCTTGTTTCCTTTCTTAGCCTGCAGCCAGCAAACTTGTGCACTATTCTGGTCCACCCATCTTGATTTGCTTTTGTTTTCATAACATATAGTAATCAAAACCCCACTGATGCTGGCAAAGTACCAAAATCTCATACAGAAAAAGAGTCTAAAGTTACTCGTTGGTAAGGAATGTCACCAGGGTCTTGTTTTCACAGGGCACAGAAATTGGTGTGTGGTATTCTGCTTGTCTCGGTCCCAGGGTGGGCACAAACTGTTTATTGGTCTGAATACACTATGGACCAGAACTGGATAAAATACCCAAATAGTGTCTCGTATGAAAATGCCAACTAGTTCAAACTAGAACTGCTCGTGGAAGCCTCAGCCTTACTATCAGCAGGAGGAGGAACAGAGCTACTCATCAAAAATCAACAAAAAGAAAAAAAAAAGAGTGAAAAAGAAGGGAAATACAGGATGAAACCTAGTTATTTATTTAACTTTTTTGTTTTTCTTAAACCACTTAAAGGGCCTGAAAGAACTGGTGAAGCAGGTGAAGAGCCTGCCAGCTGTCAATTATAATCTGCTGAAATATATCTGTAGGTAAGTGCTCTTGCAAAAATATCACAATGGCATTTATAATTGTGAGCTGACACCCAAATCTGTCTGTGTATGTGCCCTGAAGGAAAAGTATTACTAAAAAATTCAGAGGATTGGTGAGCTTAAGTGAATGTACTAAAAATACAGGTTTACTGCATGACTAATTACTAATTTGCTCTATCAAGGTGCCCATTTATGAGTTTCCTTTCATAAGCAGGCTGCACTCAGCAAGAAACGCAAGAAGGTACAAGCAAATATATTCTGTCCTCTTTACTGGACCCTGCTTTTCCCACTTCTAACTGCAGTTATTGGCCTTGGTTGTGCACTCCTGAAGCATGGTATTCTTGCAAAATGTCTGTCTTCTGGAGTGAATTTTGTGGACACATCTAAGATCTTAAAAAATATGTCTTACACAGTTGCAATTTGTGAATTTCTGGGAATTCCCAGTGTAATTGAAAGTTTGCATTTTGAGGCTATTTTATGAGCCAAGTAGTTGATTAATTATGCTGGAGAAAGTTACCATCTTCAACAGAGTTACTGTGTAGTCAGTCCAGGTTGAGATTTAAATTCTGTTATCAGTGTATCATTTTGAACAAAATCTGAAGGAGTTGAGGAGAATAGCCTTGAGCTTTCAAGATTTCCATGAGGATTGGAATGGAATACTTGAACTATGTTAAGAGACCATCAGATACTTTAACTCCCTCCTTCCCTCCTTCCCTCCCTCCCTCCATCCCTCCCTCCATGTTTCTTAAAGGCATCTTTCTTCCCCACAGATTCCTTGATGAAGTCCAGTCTTACTCAGGTGTAAACAAAATGAGCGTGCAAAACCTGGCTACTGTTTTTGGCCCCAACATCCTTCGCCCCAAAGTGGAAGATCCTCTGACTATCATGGAGGGTGAGCTTACTGTACCTAACTTGCAATAGAAAAAAGGAATGTCTTTAGGTTTAACAGTACATACCAGTCCATGTAGTACATGCAATAAGATCCATATATCTGTTTTATAGACACAGAATTCTCCAACCTGAATAAACTTCTGGGTTAAATCTTGCAGGTTACTGTAGAAGTGATGGAAATGTGCAGCACTGCAAACAGACTTTGCATAATACGATGCTGCCCTTGCAACTTCAGTAAAAATGTACTTTTCTTCTCAGTGCTTGCTGCAAATATGACATGTTCTTATTCAGCATGTGTAGTTGGAGTGCAGCTTATATTTCACCTGTGGCTCTTAAGGATGAAAAAAAGTTTGCACAGGCTCATGCTGCAGTGACCCGTGTAAGATACTTCACAAGGCAGAGTTATATTACATGCCTTCTTGCACAGCAGTGATCAAATCGTCAGCTGCATTCTGCTATTTACAGCAATTCCCAGCTGTAGAGTGTTGCTGTCATTAAGACAAAAGTATGGCCATGGCAATTTCCTCCTTTAATTTCCTCCTTGGCTTAATCTTTGTGACTTTAATTCTTCATAAAATATATGATCCCTTTTCTCCTTCCAAACACTTTTTTCTCAATATGCAGAATTTAGGGCTGTACACAGATCATTATTTATTTGAGAGTGTGTGGATTTCTTCTTTTTCTGTGAGTTTGATGCTTTTTCTCTTCCCAGATACCACAATTTCCTGTATACTTTGTTCATTTACTTGCTTTCCTGAAGTTTTCTCTTTCCTCCTCCTCCTCTTTAATTCTCAGTGTAACAACTATGGTATGGGGGACAGAAACATAGCATTTCCAAATTATTCAAAGCTTCTCTTCCCTGACACTTCTGTAATGCTTAATAGTCTGACAGATAACTGCTGTGAATGTTTCTCTTGATCAGGCAGCAAACTGGCCCTTTTTCCCCCACACTTTTGCATTAAATAGTACAAAAAGTACTCCACATTGTTCAATAGATTGGAATTGAAGAGTGGTGTCACAGAGCTGATTTATACCCCTGAAGTAAATGAGAACGCTACCCCACAGGATGACATTTACTGATGGGATACACCATGTATCTTCAGCTCACCTGAGGCAAAGGAGATGAATGGAGCTTTGAGATGGGGAGAAGGGAGTTAGCCATTCTTAAATTAAATACTGTCTTCTGGGTTTATATTTTTTCCAGAACTGGCTCCTGCCTGAAGTGTGGGGATTTTTTGAAAGTTTGAGCAAAAAAGGGTTTTTTCTTCTTCTTCTTCTTCTTCTTTTTTTTTTTAAATCTGTGTAGAAAGGTAAACATAATACGATTTTCCAGTTATTGAAAGCAACTCTTCAGCCTCCTTATCAACAGCCCGAGCACTAAAACAATGGGGGCTGCTGTAGGAAATGTCACGAATATTACACTCATTGAAAGGAAATTCGTATTTTTTTAACTAATGAGAAACAGGTTTGATTAAACAGATTTATGACTTCTCTTTAAAGGTAACTTTAAGATTTGGCCTGAGACAATGCTGATTTGCAGTTGAGCTATGCATAATTAAATGTATAGGAACTTTCAACGAAGACTGCATTGATTGCTGCTCACGGTCACCCTTCTTCATTACTTTTTGCTTTTTGGAAGATACGGAGGGCTTTCCTTGCACAGTAATTCAAGATTAAACATGCAGCAATGGGTACCCATAGGTGTATAGTGGGTATGAGGAGCTGTTTTTGTTCGGCCCAAGAGAGGCTTTCCAGAACTGCAATCATGGGCCAATATTTTCCTGTCAAACGCAGCGGTAGATGTTGCCTGAGTACAGTGCAATGTTTGTGGTAAAATTCTGCACATAACAGCTAATGTTCTCAGAAGGAACACAACTAATCTTGCCATGGGAGTAACTACTTCTCCTGCTGCATAGTTCTAATGTATGATTTTGCCTTAGCAAAGAAACAAGAACACTGAAAAAGATGCTGCCAAGTACCCACATTGAATTGGCTCGTAGTAGTTGTATTTTTAAAGGCTGGCATATAAAGATCCAGAATATTACAAATAATGGGAAACTATAGTAGCCACTGGGAAATTATTGTTTAGAAAAGCACAGTATGCCTCCGAAAGCTCTTTAGGAGCTTACAAAAGGGATGCTTATTAGAACTGCCTTGACCTTGTTCCTGAAAGAGTCTTAATAATCCTTAATGAGGGTCTGCATAACAAAATAAGAGTTGCACATCTTTATTACCCCAAGTCCAATTATAAATGCTAGTGTGCAAATTGCAGTGCAGTCAAGTGGTGTGTACACCAAGGGCTTGTTCTTTAAGGTAAAGGTAGCCATTTGTTACAAGAAGTAGCAAACTGTGGTCCTGCATTAGTTCTGTACTGTGTTGTAAAATGACACAGCTTCCTGGTTGCATATAGTCTCACCATGGAGTGGTTAAAGGCATTCCACATTATATTAGTTACGTCACATTACTGCCCTGCTTTCTCTCAAAAGTCTAAAACGACTGTGTCCCAGCAATGCACATCCCTTGCCTGCCCCTTTTCTGTTAAACTACTACATGAAAGTGCTTTGCCAGAATAAGACTTTGATTTTAAAAATGATCACCACATTGAGTTGAAACACGTCACTTACAATAGCATTATTCTTTGCTACTCATTATCTCCTGTTGTCTTCTTGGGATGCAGTTACTGTCAAGCTTCTTCCCAGAAGTTCCAGTTCTTCGGGGGTCTGTGGGGCCTGCTGGCTTGTTTTGGTGCCAGAGGCACTTCAGGCGTGTTAAGCTCTCAGAGTGTTATGCAAATGGATGTGTTGAGTAAATGAATGTATAAGCTGAATGTTTACCAAGTATTTGAGGAATGTGAGGGATAAACTATATTTATGCCCTGAACAAAACATGCCATTAATGACCATGTGCTTGGTGTCTCATTTCAGGTACAGTAGTAGTTCAGCAGCTAATGTCAGTGATGATTAGCAAACATGAAGAGCTGTTTCCCCAGGATGCAGACCCTCAGATGGGACCCGAGGTATGCAACAACAACAACGAGATGCCAAAAAAAGCAATTGTGGGGCAGCTACAGAACAAAGAGAACAACAACACCAAGGAGATGGCAGTGAGGCGCTGCTCCTGGGACAAACCTGAGTCTCCCCAAAGGGAAAGCATGGACAATGAGTCTCCAACTGCTCTGCCAGGCAGTAAGACAAATAGCCCCAGGAACAGCGTCCAGAAACTAGATGTCACCAGAAGCCCACCACTCATGGTGAAAAAAAATCCTGCTTTTAATAAAGGCAGTGGCATAGTCACCAACGGGTCCTTCAGCAGCAATGTGGAGGGCCCTGAGAAGAGCCAGACTGTACCAAACTGTACCCTGCAAACCAGGAGAACGTCATCCCTGAAAGGACCGGTGACTAAGATGGGCACACACAGTGTGCAGAATGGAGGTGTGCGGATGGGTGTTTCTAGCACAGACGGGCACAGCAACACCCTCAGCAGCCGGACTCCCAGCTGGGTGCCCAATGGCTACGTCACACTGAGGGACAACAAGCAGAAGGAAACGGTGAGCGAGTCAGGCCAGCACAACAGGCTTTCCACCTACGACAATGTCCACCAGCAGTTCTCCATGGTGAACTCTGATGACAAACAGAGTGTGGACAGTGCCACCTGGTCAACATCCTCGTGTGAAATATCCCTCCCTGAGCACTCCAACTCCTGTCGTTCATCCACCACCACCTGCCCTGAGCAGGACTTTTATGTAGGTAACTTTGAAGACTCTGTGCTGGATGGGCCACCACATGAGGAGCTCTCTAACCCAGGTGACTATGAGAACAGAAGTGACAGGAGGAGTGTGGGAGGCCACAGCAGCCAAGCCACCAGCAGCAGTGATAACAGCGAAACGTTTGTGGCCAACAGTACTAACAATCACAGTGCTCTGCACAGCCTGGTGTCCAGCTTGAAGCAGGAGATGGCCAAGCAGAAACTGGAGTATGAAACAAGGATAAAAAGGTAAAATGGTTTGGCTCTACCACCTGCCTGCCTTTTGCAGAGTAAATCCAAGAGTTTGTCCCTCTTGTGACTTGCAGTCTGCACTAGCTGCGGTCATTGGGTACTTGCCGCTGAGCTTCCCATCTTTCAGAGTTTATGTTGCTTTGGTGATACCATGTTCCAAAGGGGTTTGTTTCAGAGCAATTGCTTGCCCCAGTTGTGGCTGCTATCCTATTGACACCGAAAATAAAGACACAAAGACGGAACCTTGGAATGTAATTAACAAGATCAGGAGGCTCTCACTGTGTTTTCAATAGTTGATGCTAATGAGCATCACCTTCTCTGGAGATGGAGGAGGGCAACTGGGCATCACCTTTCAGTGAAAACAGTGCCATGGTTTATTCCACCTGTGGTATTTGAGACTGGGAGGCTGCTGGAACTCCTTTCCAGACTCCTCATTCCTCTTGAGGTAGTGCTGCATCTGGGAGTTACCCCTGCTTACAGTCCTTTCCCCATGCTGCTGCTTTGCCTGAACCTTTCCTTCACAGCTCAGATGTGTTAAAGAAGACAAGGGAAAGCCGTGTCTTTGTCCATAGATAGTGCAAAGTCTTCTCGCACACAGATTGCTGGGGTGGATGGCCATAATGATCAGTGAAAAACCTGTCTAGGCTTAGCATTAACTAGTGCACGCAGCAGGGCAGAGCTGAATGCTTTCTCTTTGTAATCAAGGTTCTCCAGTAAAGCTGTTCAGGACTTGTCTTCTCATCTCTGTTGCACAGCAGCCCTTTGTATTGGTGTCGCTGGCAATGCAGGTCCTAGCTGGATCACAACATGGGAGAGCTGCGGGCAGCAGCAGCTGCCAGCAAAAGTTCAGCATACAGAATATTGCAGTCTTTTGCCCACATCACTATTTTCAGCACAGTGTGCAGTGTGGTAGAGCACTCCTAATGTTTAATATGCATGGTGACTGTGTGTTTAGTGCCACTAGGATTTCTGATGCTTTCCATTGGAAAGCTAGATCTGAAGTAGAGTCTTTTAGACAGAAACCCTATTGACTGCAGGTTTTTTTTAAACTGTCGATTCAGGTTTGCAAATAGATACAGTAGATAAATCAGCTGAAGAAGGAAGATTAGCAGTGAAACAAAGGCTTTCAGGGCATTATTCTGACTTTGTGACACTAGTGCAACTACAGCAGGAGCTCAGTATCAACACTTCCAGCAGTAAAAGGGTTATGTAGGCAGTTCTTGGAGAATTAGATGGAGCTCTTCGCTGCTGTGCACCTTACCAGTGGCTGTTACTGGGTATTTGCTAAATGGGCTGCAGATGACATTGCCCTGTGGGAGCGGTTCATTGGTGAAGCCATGGTTTGTTGAGACACCTCTCAAAAATTCAATGTAAGCCTTGTAAATGAAAAGACATGAGTATGAGTTTGTTTGTAATGTGCATTTCTGCTTAAGTGAGGGGTGCTGCTTAGGAGCTGTCTGCTTTTATTTTGTTTTTTGCAGCTTAGAGCAGAGAAATCTCACCCTGGAAACAGAAATGATGGCCTTGCATGAAGAGCTGGATCAAGAGCGGAAGAAATTCACGATGGTAGAAATCAAAATGCGTAACGCAGAACGGGCCAAGGAAGATGCCGAGAAGAGGAATGACATGTTGCAGAAGGAAATGGAGCAGTTTTTCTCCACTTTTGGAGAACTGACAGTGGAGTCTCGCAGACCAGAAAGAGGCAACACCATCTGGATCCAGTGAGCATTGGAGGCGTAGACTGTGGGACTTAAGGGAAGGGCTTGGGGGTATTATACTGTATCAGGTGGCTGGTCACCTGGCTGAGGCTAGTACTCAACGTAAGGTTATACACCCTTGCAGGAAGAAACCGTGCAAACATTAACCACTCGTATCTACAGCGTGTACTTATCAACTTATACTCTTTGAATGCTTAATGAGACTACTGTCAAGTGTTACAACTGGATATGTGTATATAAATTAAAAAAGATCACCTTAGAGAGCAAGAGATGTATCTCAAGAAATATTTTAATGCAAGTCTTGTATTTAAACTGGTAAATTGAAATGTTGTTGCAATCAAGCTTTATATCAAGGCTTTTCTCCCTTGCACTTAACATAATAAGCTATTTTTGGCATTGTGTTACCATCAGCTTATTTTGTATATCAAATGTTTTTTGTTTTTGTTTTGTTACTCCTCTTGCTGGGGGGTAAAGATAAACCAGTATGTTAAGGTATATGTGCGTCAGTGCTTAACCCTGATTTGCGTCGCTTCTGAAGACACCAGGATGAGAAACAGCAGCATGCTACAGGCAAACAAAAAAAAGTGGACTGATTTAACAGAATTGATGGCCAGGGTAGAAAGTGCCAGAGCACCCCTATTGTAAACACCAAATGGGAATATGAAGTCACCAAAATTGGGGTCAGTGCCAAAACGGGTAAACAGCTGCTGTTTGGGAGCATATGTGGGAGGCAGAGCAAGTTGGGAAAGGGGAAAACTTAAGGGGAAGCCAGTCAATCACATGACCAGAGCTTTTTGGGGTACCGTCAAGAAGCCCCATGGCTGAGCACTGCAGCTCAGAGCAGGAATATGAATCTGGTGGTTTAGCTATATTTGTATCTGACTTACATCTGTGCTCTGAGTGAAAGTGGGTCCTTTTTGTAATGCTGGTGGAGGGATACACAGAGGGGATGAACCAGACATCCTGATAGCCTTAATGGCGTGACGGGTGCTGAAAAAATAGCAAAAAATATTATGTCCCGAGTAAAAATTACCGAAGCACCTCTGTAGCAAACAGCAAATAAGGAAGAAAACACACCCATCATATTCACCACCCACATTTACAGTGTATATTAGCAAGTTATGATACTGTGTGAAGGCTTCATGAGATTACTGTCAAGTGTAACAACTGTGAAAGCTCCCAGGCTCTCAGCATCACCAAGGGAACACACCCAGCGTGAACAGCTTGCAGAGTGCCAATAAAAAAGAAACAGCAAAGCCATGCTGTAAATTAGTAATTTGTTTGGCATCTTTGCATACAGTAAGCATAACTGGTATTTTCTCCACTACGCTAAGGATTTTTTGTTTTTAACTTTCTGTTTAGGACTACAAGCTGTATTATTGGAGAGGGTTCTTGAGGTGTCTTGGCTTCTCTCTACTGTCTCTTATATATATTGCAATTCTTTTTTAATTCCAATTGAGAAAGAACTACGAAGGCAGCCTCAAAGAACATTCTTGGTTATAGCATGTCTATTAGACAAGTATTAATTAGATGTGGGATTATGCTGGGAAGCAAACATGAGGTTGCATTTCAAAGAAATATTAACTTACAATGGAGCATTACAGGTGGTGCTTGTGGATGCATTATTTGTGTCTGGTGAGGTTCAGAGTACCCAGCCAGGGTGCCTGTTGTACTGATTACTGTGAACACGTCTAGTGCACATCCTGTCTGTATGTAAATCAGAAAAAGTCAGACAGGGAGGGATCAAGGTACTGGGAAGGAGAATGTTTTATATCAGCAGCAATCACAAGATGTCCCCATAATGGGGAGAGAAGGAAACGGGTTACTCTATTAATTCTGATTTTTAAATTGAATGAGAAAGAACTTGGTATCTGATGCAGTATGCCTGAAAGTTGACTCACAATTTAAGCAGTATCTGACATCTGTTGATATGGCAGCAAAGTCTCTGAGATAAGTATATTTGAACTGGAATTCATATTTTCACACTAGATGTATACAGTAGTCCCTGCAGCAGTATCCTGAGGAGAAGAAAGTCCTGCTTTCTCAGTCAGAGTAAGCCAGTTTTCTAATTTTGATTTCTTCTAGCACTCCCTTTTCTGTTTAAGCTCTGTTGCTCTCTTAGAATTTAAAGGAATGCACAATTCCTAAGACAAGTTGAAGGACTGGTATAAATGAGGACCTAAAGTTTAGTGACAGGGTCATGGCAGAAGGTGGCCAGCCAGACAGTGGGGAAGGGTGCTGCTCCAAGGATATAATCAGCTGATGTGATGGCAAAACTGACAGCTCCTCGATAAAATTTTATTTCTGATACTTCTTCAAAATTGACAAGGAACAGGAATTTCATTTCACATCCACATCTGCCTCCAGTGGCCTAGGCTATATAATATGCATGGAAGAAGGTTCATTCTGTGTTCAATTTCAATTATCCTTGGTCCTCAAATTGGAAGCTTCCAGTGATTTGTATGCACTGTTTTCCTTATTTGTATGAACAGACCACAGTGATTCTTTAGGGTGCAATCCTTAAAAAAAGAAAATAATCTCTTCCTTTTGCAGGGACTCTGAGAAGGTGGTTCTCCATGCGAATTTTGTGTAGGGCTTAGGCTGGAGTAGACCTGGCTCCTTCTGACTGATGCCAGGCTAAGAAATCAGAATGTCTGTTTTGTTTTATGGCTGTATTAGAGGGACCTTGATCTGCTTTGAAATTAGTACTTAGTCTTGGAAGAAAATGCAAGCTATCAGTAGCCATTACAAGCCACAGAATTACAGTTGTTAAAACTAGCTAGCACTTCTTAGTCACCTGCACACAGAAGCAAAATTCCTTTGTCAAAATACCTTCTAGGAAAGTGTTATTCTGGGAGCGGAGCAGCAGCTCAGCTTGTGTCTGTTTGGCCATCATTTTGGCTCTGATTCCTTGATGGTTTAAAACCATTCCTGATGCTGTTGTCACCTTCCAGCCATCTCTTCCTGTACCGCATAGTGCTCTTGTCACTCCGCTCATGCTGTGGTGGTTTCCTGGAGCTGAACCTGCACAAGGGTGTTCTTTGGGGTTGTGTTCTGGTGGTCGAGGTCTCTGTGTTGGCTCAATAAAGTATCAGACAGGTTCACTGTAGCTATGGCATCTGGAATTGCCTTAAATGGTCATGGGACCACACTCTTATAAGTATCTTTGAATGTTTTTTTGGAAGCTTATGCTAGGCAGGGTTTATCTATTTGTTTGAAGCTTGTCTTCACGTTTGAAAAGGTATTCCAACACCTGTCAGTCAGTTCCTCAGGGAGTGTTCAGCTTCCAGTTACATGGCTAAGTACTGATATCACAGTAGACTGGAATAGTGGCAGACACTCACAGTGCCTTCTAAGTGTTAGATTCTGATGTTTTGCTCAGAAAAGCTTCTATTTTCCTTTCTGTTTGTGGGAATCTTGCTACGCATTTGGAGTGTGCTCTGCTGCAGCAGAATAATTAACCCTACTACACTTCTTTCCTATATGTTTTTCTTTCAGCATCTCATAGAGCAAGTTTCCCAAATACAAAACTTCATAAATAAAATATGTTATGTTAAATGATATGCAGAAGTGGTATTTTAGGTTTTCATAAGAATGAGGAAAGGAGTTTGGTAAGATTTCTGCTCATCTGTAAACAGTACTTGATCCAGTAGTTAAAGTGAGGGTCCAACGACTGTTGAAAAAGATCCAATTGCTAAAAAGAATTAATCACAGAATCTCAGGAGTTGGAAGGGA